GCCACCCCATGGGCCACTAGCAAGTTCATGCACCTCTGAAATGTATTTTCCCACTCCTGTGCCCCATTTACTGTGTAATTTAACTTGATTGTGTTTCAAAGCACCTTCTTTCTCCCAGCTGCTAATTATTTTGTCATCTGATTTTTTTCTGATACAATGCCTGACAAAACAGAATGCTAAACTAGTCTTCTCCTTTACTTTATGTGGTTTGGAGCATTAGATAGACATCTTTAATATTTGTTAATCTTACTGAAACCTTCCCCCCCGCCGCCAAAAAAAAAAAACCAAAAAAACCATTGCCCGGCATATCCACCAGAATTTGGCACAGTTCTCCTTGTATTACTAGTCGCACCATCTAAACCCGCATTGATTCAATACACAGAGAGAGGCAGCTTCTGGGGAAGGGGACACTGCTTCAGCACATAACTCGGTTTCAAAACATCCGCTAGTAACACTGTTGATCTTGGAAAAGACAATAGAGCTTTGGTCAGTTCAAAAAAAAGGTCCAAACAAGGTCCTCAGCATAAAGTTCCATCATAGTTGCACGTTAGGCTTTTTAGGGCTCCTGTTGTTCTTTTCAGCTCACAGAGATCATACAGAGAAGGAGGGATTCTGCAGCTCTTATGATGAATGCTGGCTGGGGGCATGGGAAACATCCAGGTGGTTGCTGTTCCAATAGTTACATGACACAAACTTTTGCTTAGATTTTCTCTTTGCTCTCTGACAACTCTAAGAACCTGTAAAAGAGAGAAATAACCACAGCATAGTTCCATGACAGCTTAAACCTTTTTTTATGAATTCCCATCCACCTGCCATACATTCTCAGCCCTTTGCACTAAACCCTGAGTTCATGCCAGACTAGTATGAAACAATTCATTTGACTGAAAACCAGCTTTGCAAAAATGTTATTTTTTTTTGGTTCAGTTCGGGTCTCTAAGAATGCAGCCACATGAGCACCAATATCTGCACAAGGGATGCAAAATACTCTGTGCTCCTTGAGAAGCTACAAGGGCAGGACTGCAGCAACCCAGAATGAGGTTCTCTGAGACTGCAGTGGAATTTTATCCTCACTCGTCCCAAACTCATTTTAACTCCAAAATGATAGCCTGAAGTTCTGCACAAAACTAGGATATTTATTCTCACTAGTATTTGTAATAAATATTAATAGCATATATTATCTAAAACTTTTACATCTAAAACATGTTGACATCAGCAACTTTAAATACTAGTCATAACAACATCAGCAACATTAAATACTAGTCATAACATCAGCAAGCACAATCTGTTTCGCTTCATAGAAATACTAATAACTTTTATTTAAAAAACTTTTTGTCATTTTTGTTTGATTGTTGGGACTAATTTTCACCATTTAGACCTCAGGAAATGGAGATAAACCAGCTGCAGCCTTGAGCAAAATCACAGCACAAAGAAGTATGTTATTTAACATTCTTTTTTAGAGAAGCTGATGGCTACTCAGCATCACACAGAACTAGTGCATAAACACAACGCTAAAGTGATGTAATGTGGAAATGCCAAAAGACTGTGAAATACTTTCTAAGGAGCTGTTAACATGTGCCTCAGGCTAAACTGCTGAGCTGCAAATTTAAGGGGCGTGTTGTCATTAACATTCAAATCACATTTGGCAGTGAGCAAGGAAGAATAGTAAATACAGAACCCTCTCCCTCCCCCACAAAAAAAAAAAAAAAAAATCTGTATTCTATAAATTGGAAAATCCCTGTGTTGAGCAATAGAAGAGCATAATCTTTATTGCCTTTTCATTACTTCCTGAGCTAATGGTCTGAAGTCCAGTCCTTGGTCTAAACATCTTCTTCACACAATGTTGTCATTTACGCATATTGTTATCCTAATGCTGGCCCAGGGCCTCAGAGCGTAAGACTGGACTTGGCCCTAAATATGTGAGTTACATCTTGGATGTCACGTGCCTAATGCAGGACATATACGTGCTTGGAAAAATGAGAGCGTTGCTTATGACCTTCCCAGAATCTAAATTCACTGTTAAATTTATTGTGAAATAACACAATCCCAGACAGATCTGTTAGGTTAATAGCAATGTTCAAGCATTCTCTAAAGCAACCTGATACAATCACTGATACTATAAAATTGGCTAGAAACATGTACCATGTACTAGCAGATGGTACATCCACACTCCTGAAAAAAAGATACAGCAAAACTAGGATTTCCAAAACACTCAGAAACGTAATGCACGGTGTGCCAAGCCTTCGTCTAGGGATGGCAGAGTTTGCTGGCAGATTCAGCTGGGATGGCTAGAGTAGCATTCGCTGCCCATCCTTCTGCTGAAAACCCCCCATGTGATCCAGCACTGACAGATTGCCACGTAATCACACCACAAGGGAGCTGAAAAACAGGTGAGAACAGTAACTTCTTCAGCTACTACAAATAAATAGTTGACTTGGATTACCCAAGAGAAGGAGTGCTTGCAGCTTGCACTTGCTAAAAACTTCTTTGTCAAGAAGCTCTCAAGACCTTGATGAAGTGTGGGGATGGCTATGAAAATACTGATGCCAAGTAAATATTATGAAATTGCTACCCAAGAAAATAAAATTTCAGGTGAGTCCTTGTAGAGGAAATTATCATCAGTTCTCCTCCCTGTGAGCTGAAAACAATGGAAATCCCTGGCACTTATAAAACAGTTTCAAAACTCTGAGCTTGCCTTTTTCACAAGGGTCTTCACAGACACATTTTCTATATATTTGCTGCTTGCAAGCCTAAGCCATGGTTTGGGTGTTTATATAAAGCTAAGGAGACATCTACAATACATCATTCCTAGTCATTATCAGATGTGAAATAATAAAAACCATAGGAGCTTGTAAGAAGTCTGTGCTTTATGAAATGATACTTGCTCTCCCTGCAAGCATTATCTTTTATGACATAATGTATTTGAAGAAAAATGTAAACAATATTTTGGGCATGTGGAATGTATTCAAATCCATAAGCTTTAATACAGTGCTTTTTGTGCAAACATCATTTGTGTTCCATCACATCTTGTTGCAGCTTGGAGCAGGTCAGGAATGGCAGACAGCAACTTCATAGAAACTGGAACTGACTTCGTTTATTCGCTTACATGCAGTACATTTATATGATTCTAGCAGTTAGTGATGTATTTACACAGGATCCTAATTGGTAGACAATGATCTAAGACCCTTACAGCCCCCCTTACTTGTTTAGCTCATCCTTTTAGTTCCACAGCTCTTTTACTCCCTCTGACCTTGGTCTACTTCCTTATCTCCTAGTTAGCACTCCCTTTGTTCTTTCACTGAAACCTGAAGGCTGGAATTGAGCAGGCCTGCTGGGCAGCCATGTCCGCGGCACTCTAATCATTCCTCTACAACATCTTATGCCAAATGTGTATCTTTTGTTTGCTGCAACAAGTATTATATATTGAATATATGTAAATTCATTTATTTTTGAAAAATGTAAATATTGAAAGAAAAAAAAATGTTTTCAAAAGGCCCAATTTCCCTTATACTGGTCAAACAGGAACCACACAGGAAAAAATGTACTGCTGTGATGCCAGACAGTGGACAAGGGAAAACCCCAAATTCATTTTGTGCAAAAGTGAGGAATGGAGAATCCCAGCAATTCCAGGTCACTCGTGTGCTGCCCGCAATGACCCTGAAGCAGAGTGGCCTCTGAAGACCAGCCAAGCAGGCCGGCCTCTCTGGGGGAAGTTTGGTCATCCTTCTGTCCCAAAGCGCCTGTCCTGGTTTGCATGGATGCCTGCACTTGTACTGAAGGGCAAATTCTTTCTCATTTTGAAAATCTAGAAATTTAGTTGTTATTTTTTCCTCCTCACAGCCTGTTCCCCAAATCCCCAAAGCAGAATTCCACAGGGTTTCCCCAAGTCTATTTTACAGGCCAGTAGACAAACTCAAAGCATCTCTCCTCACTCTGTTTTATTGTGTTTATTCTCATTCCCTTTGGGTATCCAAAAAAAAAAAAAAAAAAAAAAAAACACTTTATGAAGGAAACACTGTGGTGACAAAGGCACAAACTTGTTACTTCACCGGTTTCTGCCTCTTAGGACTAAATTCCTTGCCTCGCTGTATCATGAGGCACCGACAGTCTGTATCCTCACTCTGTGCATCACCTCCTTTCCCCAGAATAACCCGGGCACCCCGCGGCGCCCCTACAAGCGGTACCGGCGGGGCAAACCCCAGGGGGGACCCCACCGCCAG